TTGGATAGTGGGCGATGTCACAATGGGATGGGTGTGGCCAATTGGATAGTGGGCGATGTCACAATGGGAGTGGATGTGGCCAATTGGATTGTGGGTAGTGTCACAATGGGAGTGGGTGTGGTCAGGAAGATTGTAGGTGGGACCTGTCCCAAGCGGCGGTGTGGTCCTAGTTGCCCTCTGTGTTCTCTTCCAGCTGCAAACCCCATTCGGAGAGTATGGCAGGCCTGAGGTGCCTATGCCACATGATGGGCCCCCTTCTCCGTTCCCCGGGACTCCGTGGCCTGTCGGCAGGCTGGGCCAACATCCCCTGGGGCCAGGAGCCAGAGGGGCACCTGCCGGTGGGCAAGCTGTATGGGGGTCGTTTCACGGTGACCCAGATCCCGGGGGACGGCGTGGGGCCCGAGCTGATGGGGCACGTGGAGAGGGTGCTGTCGGCGGCCCGGGCGCCGGTGGAGTTCGAGGTGGTGCGGGTGGACAGCGGCTCGCCGGAGCGGCGGGGGATCCAGGCCGCCATCCAGGCCGTGAGCCGCAACGGGGTGGCGCTGAAGGGCAACTTTGAGACGGCGGTGGGTGGGACGCCGCGCCACCGGCGCTCGCTCAACGTGCTCTTCCGCAACGAGCTGGGCCTTTTCGCCAGCGTCAACCGCTACCGGAGCCTGGACGGGGTGTGCTCGGCGGCAGCGGTGCGCGCTGGCCGGCCGCGGGCGCCAGACATGGACGTGGTGGTGATCCGCGAGACCACCGAAGGGGAGTACGCCCACCTGGAGCACGAGAGCGTGCCGGGGGTGGTGGAAAGCCTGAAGATCATCACGCGACGGCGCTCGCTGCGTCTGGCGGAGTTTGCCTTCAGCTACGCGCGTCGGCACCGCCGCAGGAAGCTCACGGCTGTGCACAAGGCCAACATCATGAAGCTGGCGGATGGCCTGTTCGTGGAATGCTGCCGCCAGGTGTCGGAGGGATACCCCGAGGTGGAGTTTGACGCGGTGATCGTGGACAACGCCACCATGCAGCTGGTGAGCCGGCCGGGCCAGTTCGACGTCCTGGTGATGCCCAACCTGTACGGGGTGGTCATCAACAACATCTGCGCCGGCCTGGTGGGGGGCCCGGGCCTGGTGCCGGGGGCCAGCTACGGCCGACGTTGCGCCGTCTTCCAGACCGCCATCCGCAACACAGCGCCGCGCCTGGCCGGCCGCGACACCGCCAACCCCGTCGCCATGCTCCTCGCCTCCTGCCTGATGCTCGACCACCTGCGGCTGGGGGACCACGCCCAGCTGGTTCGCCGCGCCGTGCTGCGCACCCTCACCGCCGAGCGAGTCCGCACGCCCGACATCGCCAACGGCCGAGCCAGCTCCACCGAGGTGGTGGACCACGTGGTACGCCTCATCGAGGAAGACGTGCCCTCCAGGAGCGGCTGATCCCCACTGCACCCCTCACCCTGATACCCCCCGCACCCGGAAGGCCCCGCAGCACGGCGCGGCGAACCAGCTGGCCGCCCGATACCCCCAACCCACCCACCCCGCGACCCCCCCCCCCCGTACCTCCCAGACCCCCC